TTTTTGAGATGGGGCTTTGCTCTTGTCACTTAGGCTGGAGTACAGTGGCACAACCTCTGTCTCCTGAGTTCAGGTGATTCTCCTGCCTCAGCCTCCCGAGTAGCTGAGATTACAAATATGTGCCACCATGCCCGCAAATTTTGTATTTTTAGTAGAGACAGGGTTTCTCCATGTTGGTCAGGCTGATCTCAAACTCCTAACCTCAGGTGATCTGCCCACCTCGGCCTCCCAAAGTGCTGGGATTACAGGTGTGAGCCACCATGCCTGGCCAGCTTTTACAGTTTTTAAGAAACAAATGATGAATTTCCTTACTGTATACTTCTTTTTTCCTCCCTACAAGTATTATGTAATGAGAAGGGGCCTTTATATACTATTCTATTTTTATTCCTCTGATTTTTTTCACCCACAACAGAGTCTTGCTCTGTTACCCAGAGCTGGAGTGCAATGGCGCAATCTTGGCTCACTGCATCCTCCGCCTCCCAGGTTCAAGCAATTCTCCTGCCTCAGCCTCCTGAGTAGCTGGGATTACAGACACGCACCACCATACCCACCTAATTTTTGTATTTTTAGTAGTGACGGGTTTCACCATATTGAACAGGCTGGTCTGAAACTCCTGACCTCAGGTGATCCACCCACCTCTGCCTCCCAAAGCGTTGGGATTACAGGCGTGAGCCATGTGCCTAGCCATTATCACTTCAATTTTTATAAAGAATGGCTCGTATGCTAATAAACACTCTTTTTTGGAATTAGCATTCCTTTGCCTTTACTGAAACAGAAAGAAACATGAACTGCCTTATGTTCTAACTTGATTTGATAGGCAAGGCTGAAGACTAACAAGTTAGAAAACCGGCATCTGCCTTTGATGTTATGGCTTCCTATTTAGCACTAAGAGAAATCTCATCCTTTCCCCTATTCTGACCATGTATTGCCATTCAATTCATCTTACTCCTCTGCGGACAAAAGTTAGTGTGACTCTTGAGGCTTTGGGGTTTATCCGGGTACATTTTTTAAAAAGCAAAGTTTAGTTTTCTATTATGGCTTCATTTAGGTGAGAGTTTTCTCGGGTTTTTTTGGTTTCTTTTTCTTTTTTTTTAGCTGAACTTAGAGTCTAAAGGGAATACTGGAAATACTGAATGCTGGATTTGGGCCTTTACTGGAATAAAGTTGCTCCAATTATACCAGGTTCACTGTTACATCTCACCATATTCCTGGAAAGCATTTAAGGTGACAGGTATGTAGAGACTGTTCTTCATTGCCAAGCTTAGTGAGAGAGTTGCTGTAGTTGGTACTCACTCTTACCTCCTAGTCACCCCTCCACCATGAACTTTTGCCTTCTTGTCCACTGCAGTTCCTCACAGCAGGGTCACCAGGGGTTTTTATCACCAAGTGGGCACAATTCTTTATTTGACCTTGCTGCTGACTGTGCCTTCCTTTTATTGACGTTTTTTCTGATTATGAAAGTAATAGATGGTCACTGTGAAAAATTTTGGAAAAGGACTTGTTATCTCTTTCCAGAAAACTTTCTCCTCATTGTAATGTTTCTGTGACAACTGTCTTCTTCCTTTCCTCCTGTTTCTCTTGACCAGACCTGAATCAGTTCACCTTCTGGGTATCTCTATCTTTTAGGCATTCAAACCCAACATTAATTTTTTTTGTCTGTACTTTTTTTTTTTTTTTTTTTAAGTTCTGGGATATATGTGCAGAACGTGCAGGTTTGTTACATAGGTATACATGTGCCATGGCGGTTTGCTGCACCTATCAACCTGTCATCTAGCTTTTAAGCCCTGCATGCATTAGGTATTTGTCCTAAGGCTCTCCCTCCCCTTGCCCCCAACCCCACCCCCCACAGGCCTTGGTGTGTCATGTTCCCCTCCCTGTGTCCATGTGTTCTTATTGTTCAGCTCCCACTTAGAGTGAGAACATGTGGTGTTTGGTTTTCTGTTCCTTTGTTAATTTGCTGAGAATGATAAGGCCAACATTTATTAAAGTGAATTTACCTCTGCTTCCGCTGCTCCAAGTATGCCCAGCCACCTGTCACCATCTCACTGAAAGGCATCACATTTCATGCAGTTGCTGAAGCCATAAGATAAGGACACATCCTTGATTCCGCTCCCTCATCCTCCATTTTCAACCAGCAGTTAGAATCTTGTTTGTTATTCCTGTGAACCCATTTACTTGTCATCTCTCTAAGTTTAGCACCTAACTTAGACTCTAGACTCTTAACACTATTTCTTACCTACCTGAATTTCCTGAAAGCATTATCTGTTTTTGAATGGCTTAGGACTTTGTGTATCTTCCCTCAGGGCTTAGCTTAGAAAATCAGGACTTCTCTGAACTGTTCCTATACCCTCAGGTGAGTCTGGTGCTGGTGTCCCCCCCTTCTTTTTTTTTTTTTTTTTAATTTACTGTTTTAACCATTGTTAAAAAAAATTTTTTTTGAATTTTTTGAGATGGATTTTTGCTTTTTTTTTTTTTTTTTTGAGACGGAGTTTTTGCTTTTGTTGCCCAGTCTGGAATGCAATGTTGCGATCTTGGCTCACTGCAACCCCTGCCTCCCAGGTTCAGGCGATTCTCCTGCCTCAGCCTCCCGAGTGGCTGGGATTACAGGCATGTACCACTATACCCGGCTAATTTTATATTTTTAGTAGAGATGGGATTTCTCCGTGTTAGTCAGGCTGGTCTCGATCTCCCGACCTCAAGTGATCTGCCCGCCTTGGCCTCCCAAAGTGCTGGGAATTACAGGCGTGAGCCGCTGTGCCCGCCTCCTTCTTCTTCATCCATATGTCTTCCTCCTTCTCCCTCTCTCCCCATGGGCACTCACAGCACCCTGTGCTATCTCTTTGATGTGTATCACATCTGTTTTAATTGTCTGTTGGCTTTTCTGTCTCAAGGGCAGCAGCTATATTTTACTCATATTTATACCAGTATCTAGCCCAGAGCGTTAGGATATCTCTGATAATAAATGGGTAGGGCTGGGCATGGTGGCTCACACCTATAATCCCAATACTTTGGGAGGCCAAGGTGGGAGGATTGCCTGTGCCCGGGAGTTCAGGACCAGCCTGGGCAACATAATGAGACATTGTCTCTACGAATTTTTTTTTTAAAGGTTAGCTGGCCATTATGGCAGGAGCTTGTGGTCACAGCTACTTAGGAAGCTGAGATGAGAGGATCACTTGAGCCTGGGAGGTTGAGGCTGCAATGAGCTAAGATCACAACACTGTAACCTGCATGACAGAGGAAGGCCCTGCCTCAGAAAGAATGAAATTAAACAAATAAAAAATGAGTAGAAGGAAATGAATAGGCTGGAGGTTAGTATAAAATAAACAGGTTGGAGGTTAGTATAAAAAAAATCTGACGCTGTATGTTTTATGGTCTCGGTCTTGGCTGCCATAAAATTACATCTTAACATGATTGGCCTTCACCACCTAGTCCGGTGGGCATGGTTCTGTGAACAAGCTTTCAAAGTGTGAAGTATGGTAGAGCAAAGTAGGGGTGAAGCTGTCAGGTTGGCTGGAATGGGTCTCAGTACTTTGCTTGTATTGATAGAGGTTAGGTTTTCCAATAACTGATGACAGTGTAACAGAGATGACTAGGGCAGTTGTGCTAGGGATAACGAGAGCACAGTTTAGCAACTTGGTGATGAGATGTGGGGATCAAAAAGGAGGAATCTAAGTGACTCAAGCTTCTTGCTTAATAGACTAGGTACAGCCAGGTGTGGTGGCTCACACCTGTAATCCAAGCACTTTGGAGGCCAAGGCAGGCGGATCACCTGAGGTTGGGAGTTCAAGACAAGCCTGACCAACATGGTGAAACCCCGTCTTTAAAAAAAAAAAAAATAGAAAAGAAAGTAGACTAAGTACTTGAGGTTGTCATTAACTGGTAGTGTTGATTTTGAGATTATTTTTGATATCCAGATGAGTATGTCTACCAGGCTGTAGGATATGAAGTTTGGGAGAGTATGCCACTGGAAATGTTTGAGTTAAAACTTCAAGAGATCACTTACACCTTAAGAAGACTAGTTGTCTCGAAACAAAGAACTCTGAGGAACACTGATGTTTAGGAGCTGGGGAAGAAGAGAGCTGGGAAGGCTGTTGGTGGTTGAAGAGTGAATTTGGCAATAAAATGGCCATTTGACCTTCAGCTGTAGAAGCCAGGTAAAAGAAAAAAAAGGCCAAATATCAAGAACACAGGTCTGTTTTTACCCAACCCTTAGATTAGATACTTCAGTATGGATTGTCTGCTTGGCTTTTTGTTGGCCAGTTCCACCCTACCCCTGTCAGTAGGCCAGCACCCCAGTCCAAATCCAGAATCCCACTCTTAGATCTAACACATAACCTCTAAAGTCCCTTCCAATTTCAATCTAACATTAAAAACAGATTCTGGGCCGAGTCTTGAGAAATTGTGATTCAGCCGGCCTAGGGGATCTTAATTTCTTCTAAAGTTCTTTCTGAGAATCTAAGGAACATTGATGTGTAGGTGCTGTAAACCTGCATTTTATTTTATTGCAAGAGAGCAGGACTTTATTATAGCAAACTTTTTAAAATACAACTGATGAAGAGGTTGGCAACCATGGAAACCTAGCTGGAGCTTTACCCTACCCATGCTTGTCTTTGTGCGTGGGGGTGACTTGGGGGTGGAAAAGTGCCACCATCTGTTGTAATCTGTTGGAGATTTAAAGTTTTTGCTTTATGGATTTTTGCAGCAGATGCCCTTTGTTCCCTGCATTATATCCTTTGAGACTATCACTGGTTTCAAACAAAACTTAGATTTTTGTAGTTTTTCTACGGCTTGCCAACACCTTTCTATTTTCTGCCTCAGGGCTCTCAAACCCACCAAATGAAGGGGAAGGGCTAACCTCAGGCAACCTTCAACCAGTGAAGTATTGGAGTGGTGCTTAAATGTCTTGCTTCTTGATTCTTGTGCCACAGAATCACCCCACTTTCCAGCAGTCACCTTATATGTCCTTATTGGCTATTTTCCCTCTCTCACATCTGTTCCCTGGGATCATCTCCTATTTTAATCTTGGTAAAATCTTGTACACAAGTGTCAGTTGAGCTGACTTTATAGCTCAAATGCAAATAAAAGCTTTTTCTAATTACATTAGTTTCTTTTTAATGTCCCTGTCTATCAATAATAGCACCTAAAATAATATGTGGGGGAGGAACTCGAAGAGAACATATTGTGCAATGCAAAATGGTGCACATATTGCTAAAGTTTAAATAATTTATTCATAGATACCGTGTAATGAGATCATTATGTGAGAATTTTTTGGTTTTTTCCACACTTCCATTTCTTTCATTTCATTTAGAAATGGGGTTGAATGGATATGAAAACCCAGAAAATAGTTGGCACAGAGAGACAACACTAGGTGTGCCTCTTTTATTCATTTATATGTCACCTGTTCTTGAATTCTGGGTGGCCCTTGGTTGTAAGACTATACGGTATGACAGAAAGCTATTAAAGTTGTCACAGTGCAGAAAGGGAGAAGATCTCTACAGATGGCTAGGATATAAATTGCCAAAGATCAGAAAGATCTGGTTTTGTTTGGTTGGTTGGTTGGTTGGGTTTTTTTGTTTGTTTTTTGTTTTTGGAGACAGGGTCTTGCTGTATTGCCCATGTTAGAGTGTAGTAGCATCATCATAGCTTACTTACTGTAACCTTAAACTTCCTGGGCTTAAGCAATCCTTCTGCCTCAGCCACCCCATTAGCTGAGACTACAGGTGTGTGCCATCACACCTGGCTAATTTAAAAAAAATTTTTTTTTTTTTAGAGATGAGGTCTTGCTGTGTTGCCGTGCTTTCCTAGTTGAAACATGTATCTCGGACAGCTCAGTATATTCATCTTCGTTTGCTTTACATTTACTGAGTGCCTGCGATATGGCAGCCTCTGTGGTAACTGTTTTCAGTTATCAGGTTTTTTTTTTTTTTTTTT